CCCGACCCGGGTTGTCCTGAACCCGGGGCCCCCCCAGCCCCACGGAAGGGGCTGCCCCCTCCCCGTTTCCCCCTTCCCAGTGACATTTGGGATTTCTTAACCGCCCGGGCACCGAGCCGGGGAGGGGGGAGCTCCTGTCAGTGGGTGTCCCCGCTGGGACAACCCGGGTGTCCCGCTGACTGTCCCCATCTGCTCCCCCAGGTCTGCTGCTGCAGGAGGACCGTCTGGACGCCCTCTCCCTGCTCTGCCTGACCTCCCTGCCCAGCTTCTGCCTGCTCTTCGGGGCGGCCGTGGCGCTGGAGGTGGGTCCCTCCTGGGAAGGCGTCCTGCGCTACGACGGCACCCTCTGGGTCTGCGTCCTGCTCAGCTGCCTGGGCTCCGTCCTCTACAACCTGGCCACCATCTGCGTCCTCTCCCTCACCTCCGCCCTCACCGTCCACGTCCTGGGCAACGTCACCGTGGTGGGCAACCTGCTGCTCTCCCGCCTCCTCTTCGGCAGCCACCTGAGCGGGCTCAGCTACCTGGGCATCGGGCTGACGTTGGCCGGCATGTTCATGTACCACCAGCCGGACCTCATCGCCGCGCGCTGGGCGGCGCGGCTGGGACGGGGCCCCCCCAGGAGGGAGTAGGGTCCCCCAGCGGGGACGGGAATTTGGGGGCAAGCACGGCTCTGCGGGCGCGCGGGAGGGCTGGTGTGCACGGCGCGGTGCACACACGGGTGCCGGTGTGCACGGGTGTGTGTGCACACGCGTGTGGTGGTGTGTACACGTCTGTGTGAACGTGTGCTGGTGCGTGCACACGTGTGCTGGTGCACATGGCACGGCGCACATGGATGCGCCGGTGCGCACAGGCTGTGTGCGGGCACAGCTCTGCGCACACGTGTGTGCTGCTGTGCGTGGCACTGTATGCACGCGTGTGTTGTGTGTGGGCACAACTCTGCACACGCGTGTGTGCTGCTGTGCATGGCACTGTGTGCACACGTCGGTGCACACAGCTCTGCACGTGTGTGTGCTGCTGTGCGTGGCACTGTGTGCACGTGTGTGTTGTGTGTGGGCACAGCTCTGTGCACGCGTGTGTGCTGCTGTGTGCATACGTGTTGCACACATGTGTTGGTGTGCACAGCTCTGTGCACGTGTGTGTGCTGCTGTGCGTGGCACTATGTGTGCCCATGTGTCGGTGCGCACAGCTCTGCACACGCGTGTGTCTGTTGTGTGTGGCACTGTGTGCACACGTGCGTCAATGTGCACAGCTCTGTGCACGCGTGTGTCGGTGCGCACAGCTCCGTGTGCACACGTGTGTCTGCTGATGTGCGTGGCACTGTGCTGGTGTGCACAGCTCTGTGTGCACACGTGGGTCTTGGTGTGCTCAGCGCTGTGTGCACGCGTGTGTTGATGGGCACAGTTCTGCGTGTGCGTGGGCACGCCTGGGTGTGCGCAGGCTCTGCAAGCGTGAGCAGGTCTCTGCGTGTGGCTATGCGGGCATGGGGGCACGTGTGCGTTGGTGCGTGAAGGCTCTGCGTGTGCAAGCGGGTCGCAGGCATGTGGGGGTGTGCGCGTTGGTAGAGACTCTACGTATGAGTGTGCCCGTGTGAGCACATGTGTGCTGCTGCGCACAGGTTCTGTGTGTGTACAGTGTGTCGCTGCGTGTGCAGAGCCCTATGCGCAGGTGGGCACACGTGTGTTGGTGTGCACAGCCTCTGCGTGCACGTGTGTGCACAGATTCTGCGTGTGCGAATGCGCGTCTGAGCGTGCACAGCTCTGTGAGTGTGTGTGTGCGTACAGGCTGACAGGTCCCGCTGTGCGCCCCGGCTCCGTGCGGGTGAGCAGGCACCTGCGTGGGTGTGCAGCTGCGTGCACCGGCTCTGCACGCGTGTCCGCATGCGCACACGCAGGCCGGGCACGCTCAGGGACGTGGCTGTGGATACACAACTGCGCATCCGACTGCTGTCCCGCCTGGGGGACGCAGAGCAGCCTCTGTGTGTGTGTGTGTGTGTACATGTGTGCACACGTGTGTGTGTGTGTGCACATGCGTGTGCGTCACTACTGAGCTCTGCTGGCTGGAGTAAACCCGGGGCTGTGTGTACGCACGGTTCTCGTGGCCGAACGAGACACCCGGGGGTGGGGTGGGTGAGTGTCCCCTCTCCTGTCCCCAACCCCACCGTGTTGTATCCCACGGG